TGAAGAATCTATCTACATGGCTTTGTCTACACAAAAACACATTATTTTGAAAAAATTGATTAAATATGTTACTCAAACAATTATGTCTTTTAGATGAAAAATATATTTTATTAGTGAAATATTATGAAAGGAATGAGATTTTATGTTTCAATTTGATGTTTCTTTCAGATTTTGTTATATTGAGTGAATGATACATACAAATATTGATGAGTCATAGAAATGAAACACAAATAAAACCGTCTACAAATCAATTTAGAAATACATATACAGTACACATTATAATTATTCAACAAATAAGTGAAAGTTATTTAACTCAAGTAGTTGTAGAGTTGGTTAGGGTCGCAACAAAAAAAACTCACACGACATGGAAAAAAATGCAACACAAACTGATTATAGAGACAAATGACACGATACTAAACGACACGATATGAAAAATACAAACAAATATTAGTTATAATTAAATTAGCATTCTTATGATTGAATAAATTAATAATATAAAATTATGATAGTAAACACTGAATACAATATGATATTATAGATGTTATATTTATACAAACACAATAAAACACATAATTAAATACAAAGTATTGGTATAAGAAGATTGCCCTTAAGTTCAACCCTCAAAATAATTGTCCCCACACACCTAATTTTGTGGCTACCCTCCTCTTCTCTAGAATTCCAAGAAATGTGGATCTTTGACCATATTCAATTTTGACCAACTACTACTCTATAAATATAATATCTCCAATTCAAACAATAAATTTGAATTAGTACAGACAATAAATCCAAAAACTTTGAGATCAAGCAAGAAACACGTCGTGCTCAACACCTCAACACCCAAAGTAACAAAAACTTACACACAAAAAATACATATATTTTAAAACAAGGACAAATATCAACTATCAAACCCATGTTTTCCCAAAAAAAATTTCAAAATTCTGACATGAGATTAAATATAAAAAAATCACGTGCTTAATCACATGATCACGCCGCATACTGCTAACAAATAATTTGTAATTCTGTATATAACAGTATTAAGTCAGACTCCTAACATGATACAGTCAAACAAGCTGAGGCACATGATCCAATCCAACCATTTTATGCATAGGATACCCCAAAAAACACACCTAAGTTATATATAAATTATAATCCACCTTCAAATCTCATAACCATTATGTTTAAAGTTTAAGAACCTTAGCCAAATTTTCATAACCAAAATTTCAAACCAAGAACACAAAAAACAAGCTAAACCATGAAGTCCCATTTTATAAGCATGATCATGACTTCTTTTCTTCTTGCATTCATGCTCGTTTTGCACGAATCGCACGCAACAAGGCCGATGATCGCGAAAAAACGAACGATCGAGAATTCGAGCGTAAAAGAGAAACTTTCGTACGAAAAAGACGCATTGAACGCTCGGGAAATGCCACCGACCGAAGCAAAAACCACAGGAAAATCAAGAATATTGTCATCATCATCTAAGCAATCTCTCGAGAATTTGCGCGTAAAAGAGAAGAATCCACACAAGAACGTAGAATCGAGTATGAGAACTGTACCTCCAAGCAGATCAAACCCGACTCAGAACAAGTAAAATCAAGATTATTTTTGTTTTTCATTTCATACATTGGATTTATAGAGTTATAGCCTTTTTTTTTTCCTTCTCCTAGATAGGGGAGGATCAGCTTATTCTAGAACAGTTTGGTTTTACTCGAAATGTAGCCAATTTTGTTGTAGTCTTCGTTTCGTTATGTTCTTTGTAATTCCTAGCATAGACTTGTGAATATACAAGAGCTTTTGATCTTATGATACCGACTATCGAATACTCTCTACTTCCATTTGACGAGAAAGATACAAAATGCACAAAATCGAACAGAAAAAAGGAACAAAAAAATAAACGAAGAAAAATGTGCGAAGCTTCCATCTATATAAGTTGGACTATATATGAAGCTTTTGACTAATCAGAAATGGTAGCTTTCAGCTTATATTGTATCGACCATCTTTTCTTCGCCCGTTTTCTCTCATTCTAATTAGGCTCTAGCAACATTTTCCCACAGTTAAAACACACACACATGTATTGTACACAAGGGAAATTATCAAAAGTACCACAGTTAAACCAAAGGGAAATTAAACAAGACAAATTCAAACCCACAACTCCATATCTACAACTTAGCACAAATTAAATTATAAAAATCCCATCTTAATGCAGCAGCTAATTTATTCACCACAGGCGCGGACCAGTATGCTTATAGCTCATGAAGGTAACAACGTAAAATAAAAACAAAAAAACAAAAACTCCTCCAAAATAAATAAGAATCTATAGCTACGAAAATAACCAAGCTCGCGCACTTTGAGAGGCTCATGGGTCATTGCAATTAAACCAAACAAGCAACTGGTTAGCTCGATTGTTGTGAAAAAAAGAGTCGAGCTCTAACTCATTTAAAACTCCTTTAGTTTACCAACCGAACTAAATTAATTTAGCTAGTTAAAACTCGAAAATAAGGATTTTTATCTATAGCTTGGCACTTTTATGCTAGCTAATATTCATAAACTTGGATTCGAGCACGTTCATGGCAAAATCAGCTCGGCATAAACATATCTTGATATGGTCCTCACATGAAGCTGTTGTGAACTTGGCTAAGAACCATTTAGATTAACTAATGACATTGTTGGTAGAGATGCAATCAATGCAAAGTTGAAGTAGCAAAATATAACTTTTTCCATGTGCAGAATTATTGGCTATAATGCCTATAATGTCATTGTGGGTCACGGCCATTAACTTAATGGTCCCCAACTGTAAATCAATAATGGAGCAACAAATATCTGTTTCACATTTCATCCAAGTCTCATTCTTCATTTTTTTCTTCACCACAAGCATTTGAGCTCAAAAACACTTCCAGCTTTCAGTTCTCATTACACACTTTTCCTAGCTAAAGCTAATTGGATCCATGGCAGCTTATGGAACTCTGCTTTCTCTTACAAACACCATTGACCAAATCCTGAATCACCCCCGCCCACCCATTTCCCTCGACAAACAACAAATCAAACCTCTGATAGAAAAAGTTGCTTTCTTGCAAGTTTTTCTTGAAAATTATATTATTGATGATGAAGATGGGTTGGAGGGGCGTATGGTCGATGCGGCTCATGAGGCAGAGGATATAATAGAGAGCCACATTGCCGATCATTTTGAGAATGAATATGAAGACTCTTTGTATCGATACATACAGAAAATGATGGTGGAATCCGATGCGTCTCACGAGGCAGAGGATAACGAGGCTCGTGGGGAAGCTAACATCAGTTCCAAGGATGACAACGAGTCTTTGTATGGAGAGCTACAGAAAGTGATTCACCACTTTGATTCCATCACAAAAGACGTACATAAGAAGGCGTGGAAAAAAATTGCTCCTTCTGATGACGCCATGCTGGGTTCTGATGTTGTCGTGAACGACATCATGGATAAGATCAACGGTCCTTCTAATTCAACGGGGGACGAGAGTTTCATGAACGACATCATGGATAAGCTGACCAATCAACAATCTAGCCGTTGGATCATAGCGATTACTGGCATGGGCGGCATTGGTAAGACCACTCTTGCAAAAAGAATTTACGAAAATCCACTTGTTGTAGAACAATTTGATATTCGCGGATGGGCTACAGTCTCTCAAGAATTTGATTCGAAAAGGATTTTGTTACAAGTCCTTGACTGTTTGAAAAAAACTATGGGGAGTGAAGAAAGTGAATATGAAGAATTAGGACAAAAACTGTATCAGAGCTTATACGGCCGACGGTATCTGATTGTGATGGATGACATTTGGGGTACGGACGCATGGGATGGGGTGAAGCGCTTCTTTCCAAAAAACAACGGCGGGAGCAGAGTATTGATAACCACTAGGGCACCGAATGTGGCTTGTCAACTGGATGGCACAGAGTACTTTCAGATGAGGTTTCTGAATCAGAATGAAAGTTGGAATCTACTGCGTAGGTGCGTGTTTGGGGAGCAAGGGTGCCCTCTGGAACTCGAAGAGATTGGGGAGGACATTGCCAGAAAGTGCAGAGGCCTTCCATTGTCAATTGTCATGATTGGAGGACTCTTAGCAAAGTCTGAGCAAACACACGAAAAGTGGCAACGTGTGGCAGAAAATTTAAGCTCGATCGTGAATTTAGGGGAGGACGAGCATTGCTTTAGAATACTAAAGTTGAGCTACAATCAACTTCCGGTCCACCTCAAGCCGTGTTTTCTCTACATGGGCATATTCCCGGAGGACGACTGGATTCCTGCCAACACGCTCATCCGTCTATGGGTTGCTGAAGGATTTGTGAAACCGGTGGGTGGTAAAAGCATGGAAACAACTGCTCGAGTAGTGCACCTACATGATCTCGTCATCAGAAACCTAATCATGGTTCGTACGTTGGGCCCTAGTCGAAGAATAAAGTGCTGCGGCATCCACGATCTCCTAAGAGACCTATGCATAAAAGAAGCCGAGAAATATAAATTCTTTCGCAGCATGGAAACAACAATAATGCACAACAACCCTGAGCAAATTAGTTGGCGCGCCCAACGCCGTATCGCCATTCACGAAGCTGGGAAATACATTCCATGTCAACTCCCTAAAGCCGTGCGATCCGCATCACGAGCGCGAACTTTGATATGGAACGTTGATAGACGTTTACCATCTGTAGTTCCGTTAAGATTGCTCAGGGTTCTGAATCAATACACTAGATATACAATTGATGGACCGGATGGGGAGGGCAAAGTTCGGCTCGAAGACCATTTTCATCTGGTCAACTTGCGCCACCTGGTCATCAAAGCTAATCTGCCCGAGCTTGAATTTCCTCCAGAATTTTACCTACTCTGGAATTTACAGACGATAATAATTTATGTGATCTTGCCTGATGATAGCATGACATTGGTGTTGGACATCTGGCGGATGCCCCAATTGAGGCACGTCAGTGTAAACAGGCTCCACCTCACGGATCCTCCTCCGCCTCCTGTGGAAGAATTCAAAAATGGTTGTATGGTGTTAGAGAATCTGGAGACGCTCAAGAGTGTACGTAACTTGAGATTGGGTAAGGAATTGGTTGAGAGAATCCCCAATATCAGGAACCTGGGATTGAGCTTCCAAAAAGAAGAGGAGGAATTATCACTCGGTGATTATGGTGTCAACAATCTCTCCCAACTACATAAGCTGGAGCACCTTTTTTTCACTTCACATCTCTCTCGACGAATTGAGGTGACGACGTTCCCGATTTCGCTCAGGAAGCTGTTTCTACGTGGCCTGAGGCTTGGGTGGGAGGAGATGGGGACAAAGATAGGGTCGTTGCCATATCTCGAGTACCTCGATCTATACATGAATGCGTTCGTGGGGCCCGAGTGGGAAACAGCCGATGGAGGATTCCGGAGCCTGAAATACTTGAGAATCTACGGCTGCAATGATCTTGAACAGTGGAAGGCGGAGGCCACGCACTTTCCGTGTCTGGAGCAGCTCGATCTGTGTTATCTAGACAAGCTCAAGGAGATTCCATTGGAAATTGGAGATATACCCACGCTTAGGAAGATCTACTTTGATGAATGTTCGGACACTGTCGTGCTTTCTGCATATAAGATATTAGAGGAACAAGAAGGATGTCTTGGGGAGACCAACCTTAAAATTGATGTTCGTTATGGAGAAAGTTACGAACTCATAGATGGGAAACTTACCGTAACGCGTAGTGGGGACATTTCAAATAATTCCTCATACGCATAGATGGGAAAATATCTGAAACGGGTGGGAAAATTTCCTATTACTATGATTTTTTTTTTTTTTTTAAGCTTTTATATTGTTGTGTGTTTATTTATTTTTCTATTTTTTCTTACATGCATACAGGGGCGAATCTAGCAATCTATATGAGTAGGGGCCTAAAATTTTTAAAGTAGCGTAACATTATCTTTTATAAGTAAAAATCAAAGACAAAAAGAAATAAAAATAATATTTTAAGTAAAAAATAAAAAGAAAATACATAAAATTTTCAAGACAATAATAATTTCACATTTTCTTGATATGACCATTTTAAAGGTTTTATTCATCCGCTCTATGAAAGTTTTAAAGAAAAATAGTTATACATTCAAATTAAACATATCTTACTATTTTAACACCTATACATTAATAAATATCTATTACAAATATCTCTTAGATTTAAAAACAACAATAAATACAATATTCAAACCATATTTGTTGACCTAATAGAAAGAAAAACAATCAAAGGGATTAATTATCAGATATTAATTACAAACAAATTAATTCAATAGCATATAATATCGGGAAAATTAAAATTAGTAAAATTACCAATCAATAAATGAAGTGAAGTATAAAATAAGAGCTATATTCCATTAATTTTCAAGAATTATTGAAAAAAGAAATATATTTTCAACTTATTTTTATTATATATATATATTTTTATCTCTCTTCTTCCTAAATCTAGTTTTCTTACCATGTTTTTGAAATAAGCTTATTTTACTTAAGTTACTAGGACCCTTGAGAATTTTATGTTCACTTTGTATTTTTTAGTGTGGGCCTAGGCCCACTCTGGTTCTCAAGTAGCTACGCCCCTGCGTGCATAGCATGTGGTGGTGAATGTTTTTGTCGATTAAATTTAAAAATTAAATTAATTAATTTATTAAACATATTATTGCAGGAACGAAGTAAAATATAAAACAAATGGACTTCTAATGATTTTTTTTAAATATCATAATGATGTCCTAATATAAAAATAATGAAATAACATATTACAACCCCAACAAAGTATAGTCTTTAATGGAAAAAAAAAAACACAAAATAACTAAATAAGGACCTAATGTATATTATAGATGTATTAGTTATTTAATTTAATTATATTAGATGATTAAATAGTGATTTTCTTTTATTTTAGTTTTAACGTTTTTATAAGAAATATTCAAACTTGTTGGAACCCAGTACATCAATAGTATTGCAAAATTCTTCTTAATTCATTTGGCAAAACGTCTATTTTATTCAAACACTTATAATTATTCTGGCCAAACATACAGTCAAACTTCATGATTGTATGATCATTATAAAGTATTTCTACCAACAGTTCATGAATATCTTTGTAAAATAACCAAACGTATCATTAAATTGTTGATATTTGTTATCATTATATAAACTACTTCATTACTATGTCCATATAGACAAATTGGTACATACCCCATGGAGGCATTATTCCACGGGGTGAGAATGGATTTCATCTCCAAATAAAAGTTGATTTACCAAAATCTTGGTTACATGTACTTCTTCCGAGACCCTAAATTACTTTTTAAAATCATCACATTACATGAAAGTACGTACTATAAAGTAATTGCACATATGTTTCAGCAAAATACACAATGAGATTGTAAATATTCCTATAAAAAAGGATAATTTTATTCAAACATTCAAGAATGTTTTGATCATGTTTCGACATTTTTTTTCAATGTTATTTATTTGGAAGACAAATGAATTTTATAATTTATTGTTTGCAAAACATTGACCATCTTGGTTGTTGTAATGATTTTAGCATTGTTTACCATAATATTTTTCACATTCGTTCGGATTTGCAGTACTTATGTTCCTAATATCTTTTTTAATGCTTTTATTGTCCAACTTTTTTACATCATTCATAATGCTTCGAAAAATCAAGATGAACATCCTTTCTTGGACCAAAAAAAAAAAAAGAGACAATATTAAGAAGTATATCATTTGTTAAAATATTTGAGAAAATATTTAGAAGAGAAGAATTAGAATTCTATTATATTATGATACTCTTAGTCGCTCTGCGAACTTTATTGTCACGAAGTTATTATTGAAATTTACGTTATGTATTACAAAGTTTTTATTTTTCTAATTATTTAAAATTCTTTATAACATAAGATCATTATTTATAAGAACTAATTTCTTACAGAGTTCATATATTTAGACGCTAGCAAAAAAAATAGTAATTTTAATAGACTTTTGTTTCTAGATATTGTGTCATATTTCTATAAGAAAATTCAAATTTTTTCTTTTCCCATTGAATTACTATTGTTTTATTTATTTCTTATTCTATTCACAAATAATATTTATTTGCTATAAGAATTGAAACACATTTATATGTATTGCGTCATTTTTTTTGTACGTATTTTGTATAATGACGTCATAATCAAAATATCTTATTTATTAGCCTACAACTAATATAATCAAATACAATAAATACTATATAATATCACTTATTTATCTATTTAAAATAATAATATATTCGAGAAAATGTACTTTTATACTGGTTATAAGATTAAAAAGTTTAGGATTTTTTCCATTGTTTGATAAATAATTAAGTAATTAACTAATTTTCATATTCATTGAAAATATATGTTATATGTTACAACCATTATGGTGTTCCATTACACACTTGTCAAATTAAACATCATTGGAAATAAATGATGTGATATATACTTATAAAAAGGGTAACAAATAAATAAATAATAAGTATTTCAAAATTAAAAATTTTAATGGTAAAAAGTAATTAAATTTGTAACTAAAAATATATATTTTTTATGTACTTAAAAGTCTTAGTTAAACTAATTGTTCATCTTGAATATATCTATATTTTCCATTAGTCACCTCCAATTGATATAGGACATTAGTTAATTTTATCACTTTTTTTACTTATGTATTGACTGCAAGCTATATGTTATCTCATTGTCAAGTCTTACATTTTTATTACGTAGAACATCATTCTTACCCCTTGTTAGTTATTATAATACTAATAAAATAATTAAAAACTTTTTAACCTAGATGTATCTTGTTTGTTTTGAAAAAATTACTAATTATCAATATTAATATGAAAATTACATTAATTATATTTTCTATCATTATAAAATTTTTTTCATAGTAATTAGTTGCATGCAATATTATATATAATGTAATTGTTTTATTGATTTAGAGCCTTACTTTTACAAGAAAAATGATGAAATTTCAACGAAAATATATTACAGTGGAATTTCAACGACAATCTAATGAATATTTCAATGTTATACTCTCTTTTGAATTTTTCAATGAAAAGTTTCTCAAAAAAATATGATAAACTCGGTATGAAAACTAAAGAAAATATGATAAAATATCAAAATTATAAATTTAATCTTTAGTTCTATTTTTTAATCTTGATGATAACTCTATTCTCCATTTTGCAACATAATATTTTCTCTAACTTCAAAATATTTTTTATATCTTTTTTAATTAATGTATGTGGAATTCCAGCTGTATGTTCATAATTTATAAATTCATCAATTATATAGTCGAGTTGAGTCAACTATACTACAATATAAATTTTTTTTTCGTAAAAATTTTAAAGAATATATTTTTTTCAACGATTTTCTTATGTTGAATTGAAAAAAAATTATGTTTTTTTCTTAAATATTTTTTTAACTTATTGTGACTATATTGTTGTGTTAAAACTCAAAAATATATTACGAATGAGAAAGAGAAAGATGACAAATTATAAAAATTGTAATGACATTATATTATTTTGTGGTATACTTTTTCTATTAACTAAATATTTGACATGCGCCAAATTTACGTGCATTTTATAGTGATTTTTGTGTCCGTTTCGTCGTAGTTTGATATGTAATTTATTATATTTAATTAATTATTAATTATTTAATTATTTAATTATATTTATTAAGCTATGATGAAGTGTTTTATTTGAGTTTTTACAGGAAACGGGGTCGAAATAATTCTTGGAGTCGAAAACGGCGTGAATTGGACACAAGTTTTGCTTTGGGCCTTTAAAAACCAGCTTCAATAAGCCCAAATATATAGCCCAACATATGAAATACATACTAGGATTGGGCTGGCCCATAGGTCACTTAAATGAGGATAAAAAGGTCATTTCTTCATGAGATAAGTATGGTCTTCATCTTCTTCACGCACATGAACGCCTGCATATTCGTCCGCCATGAAAAGAGCTCCGTCCACCCTGATTTTCGACCGCCGCACGTCGCACAAAGAGCATCTCTGACCGCCGCCGCCATTATTTCTCTGAAAAACCCGCTTGAACGTCAAATCCGCGTCGGAGAAGCAGCAGGCCGCCGGAGCTGCCCGGAAGTGACGGGAATGACCGGAATCCGCCATGCGGGACACCTGGGCAGCCACTGAACGTCATATGAACAGGTGGGACGCCGGAAAACCGACCAAGAGTATATATACGAGCTGAGAATGACGATCTGGCGCTGTTTTGAACTCCCAGGTACACACGGGTCGTGTGAGCCCGAGACACGAGTCGTGTCGCTCTGACGGGTCGTGAAACCTGCTCTCGACTTTTACACACGACTCGTGTGGCTTATGACACGATTCGTGTGACCCTGGACGCATCATTTTGCGCGTTTTCCTATTTTTTCGGTTTTTTTCGACCTATTTCGACTAGGACTCGACCTCAACTATATATATAACCCTTGGACACGTTTTTGAGGAGTCTTGGACATATTTTCATATTTTTTGAGACTTTTGGAGGCTAGAAACACGAGCAAGACGAGGGAGAAACCCGGGAAGAGAAGATCGACGGAGCCGAATAAGCTTTTTCTTTCTTTTTCTTTTCTTCTTTCGAACTCAATGTTTTATATCTATTTTTCTTATTTTGAAATCATGTTTCTAGGCTAGATTTATATTAGATTCTAGGATTTGTTAGTACTCGGATTGATTTATGATTTAGTTTTTATTTATTTCATTCCGGTTTATCTTTC